TTATTATATTTTTTTTTTAGAATACATACCATAGATGGCGGCGAAAAGCGGCAATCATTAGCTTTTAAATGTGATTAATTTTGGAAATGTTAGGACCAATATTGATTAAGTTAAAAAATTTGGGTAACAAAAGTGAAAAAAATGGTATAAGTCAGTTATCAAAATTGAATTTTTCCCTTATGCTATAGCACCCAGAGTAGCTCGGTAGATCGGCTTGAGTGTTAGCTCGAGTAAGACAGGTCCAAAGAAGCTCATTCTCGGTACCGAAGAGCTCATTTAGGCAGCTCAGGGTACATGTCAACTTGATAAGTAGACCGAAGGTTGGGCTCACTCAGGAACTCACATATGTGTTGGGACCTCACGACCTGGAGGTCGTGAAGATAGAAGTCGCGGTAACCACCTGGTTCTAATTTATGACAAGTAGGTTGCTAGGTTGTTCAGAAGACCTAAGAACCTAAGCGTATGGTGAGAAAAAAGATAATACTTTAAAAATGCAAAGTGTATCTCGCTAATGAGTTTCAGATTTTGGAGGCGTGATAAGCTAGGAATATAGATATGTTTCCTAGTCAGAATTCTATTTTGAAAACAAGACACCATAGTATATAAAGGGTGATCAGGTTCTTTTTTGTCATTTATATATTTTATCACGAGCGAGTACTGACTTGAACGTCAGAGATGCACTAGTTTCTGGTGTGTCAAATCAGGCAAAAAATCGTTTTTTTACTTATGCAATGTCACTGAAAACATTTCTCATCATAAAACAATATTGGTATATATATATATATTGTAAAGTAACCTTTTGTTTATTTATTCTATTGTCATTTCCATCTATCAAACATTCTGGAAAATAAGCTTGTTGTGCTTCATATAATCTTGGAACCTAGCCTCCTTTAGTGTTGAAGCCCCTAATGTTTGGTAGAAGTAGGGGGTCAAAATCTATTGAGCCTTAGATCAGTTTATAAAACATCCCCATGAGACTCTTATGTGAAAATAACTGAAAATGATGACAAGCATTTGATTTTTTATTTTTTCCTTTTTGAAACATGAGAACCATGCAAAATGTTCAAATGAAAGTGCTTCAATGATCCAATTAGAGCGTTTACTCGAACCGAGTATTTACGAACACAACTTTGTTCGATTTATGAAGGTGAACCTTAACTGATTTGTTTACTTAAATAAGTCGAGCTCGAACAATTAATCAAGCTCGGATATTAAATAAACTGAGACGAATTTATTTTTATTGTTATCAGTAGTATAAAAATAAACAGTTGGGCGAGCACATTTGCAAATGCAACAAATTGTGTTCGTGAATAGTTTGTTTACAATTTTGAATATATTAAACGAACGTGAATTCGAACATGAAGTGCTCGGTTCAAAACTTCAAACCCCACATACATACAGTATATTCTCTCTAGTTATTTTTCCCTTTATCTTTTATTCTCTCATTTGTCACAACCTAATTTATACTTTTCACAAGATGCTGTGCAAATATAAACTCCCTTTCCACTTTCCCCTAAGCACAACTCAGAGCTCCATTGACAGCAAACGCCAGACTCCAGTTTCTCTCTACCTTTATTAGGTCAAAAATCGAGCCCCTCAAGTTTCGAAACCTTACATCTCGACCCCATTATAAACACTTATTTTCAAATTCCACCCAGTGCCCATCGCCAAAACCCCAATTTCTCCTCAAACTTCCCTCTGGTTTGTGTCCCCTTTTCTTCTTCCTTTCCCCCCTTTCAACAATTTTCTCTCTCTACGAACAGTGGGACTCGAAAAACTCACCGCACTCCAAAACCCATTTCTGCATTTTCAAGAATTTGCTTCCTTTATTGTGATTACGATTATGATAATCTAATTGCGACCCTTTTTTCTTCACCTTTCTTTCTTGCAGTTTGTTCGTGTTCAGTAATTATTGTTAGAATCATATATATTCGTTTTTTGTCGGAAAAAAGATTCCGCTTTTGTTCGCCGCCGGCGATTCTGGGTGTACTATAAATGCAAACCCTCGATCCCTCATGTAACCCTACCGTAGACACTCCCGCACCCGATCCCTCGGCCATGGCTGAGAGCTCTTCTCCGATCTACTCCCAGAACGACAACCCCACCAAAGACGACCAAACCCATGTGGAAACCAACACCCAGCATGAAAGCTCGAAGGAGAACAGTGTTAAGAATAGAACCAGTGTTGGTAAAGGCAATGATGTCAGTAGTATGGTGGTCAGGAGAGAGAGGCCGTCACGGGCTTGCACTCAGCGGGCTGCCGCCAGGCTGCAGGCGGCGGCAGAGGCTGAGGCGGCAATGGAGGCCGAGAGGAAGAGGAAGAAGGCTAGGAAGGAAAAAGTAGCAGCTAGGATGTCGAAAGAAGAGTCTGAGGAGGAGGGTAGTTTCGGCTCCGGGGATGAAGGAGCAAATGGGGAGGAGAATGGTGAGGAAGGTGAGTCCCCTTCATCTTCTCGTGTGCAATGCGGCAAGATAATCACGCAGCTCGTTGGGGAGGTGGAGACTGGGCAGCTGCCGAGGTGGAACATTCGGAACATGTGGCAGCTGGCTTCTATTTTTAATTTCTTAAATGTAAGTGTGAGGTTTGGGAAGATGGGCAAGCTTTTTAGCTTTATGTGGAGGGTTTTATGTTTTTGAGCTGATATATGTGTTCTTCTTATGTGTTGTGGGGTGTAGGTGTTTAGGCCTTTGTTGAATATTAAGGTGGAGTTTTCTGCTGAGGAATTTGAGACGGCCTTGCTTACTCCGAATAATACCTTGGGTGATGTACATATGCCATTGTTGAAGGTTAGTGCCTTTTGGTCCTTAGTGATGGTTTATGCTCTTTTAATCGTGCAAATTTTTGAAGTATGTTAGATTGAGTGCGCTTTTGTATGGTGTTCTGTATAGTCACTCTTTTATGGAGCTTGTTGTGCTACATTGGGCTTCAAGATGATACCTTGATTGTTATATGCTGCTTTTCTTTGACATCGAGTAGAATTTGAAGCGCATGCTGTCAATTTGATTCTTGATGGCTTGAAAATTTGTTTAAGGTTTCATGTTTCCCTTGGAACACAATATTTTCATTTTGATGATGTACATGGCTACATGCAGGAAGTATGATCAATAAGCATTAGTAGTTAAGCAAAAATATGGGTCGTGTGCATCAACTTTAATAAGTGTGGAGAATGTTAAATTTTCCATTTGCTGTGGCGTTTGAAAGATGGTGGTCTTATATAAAAAAGAATTGATCTTTAAAGTATAGACTTCTATACCTAGATTGTTGCTCTTATTTTAATTTTTATATCATGGCTGATTATTAGTATTTCTGCTGATTTTTGTTATTATTTTTTTTTTTTTTTCTAATCTATAAGTACTAATACACTGTTTTGAGCATTTTCCAAAACAATTGCTTGATATCATTTTTGTCTTGTAATGTCAAAAGGCCGAAAATCTTCTTGTGTGGCACTGAAAGCATGCACACAACTGTGGCTAAAAAGAATGAGCATGTTCAGTAATGGCCAGCTGAAACTGAGAGTATGTTAATTTTGTATAGTGTGATGCTCTGTAAGTTTCATGGTGATTTAACTTACATGTTAATTAGATATATGGAACCTATTCATGATAATTTGAAATGCAACTTAAATTCATTCAGTTTCTTTAATTATTTTGAATTAGTTATTAGTAAAAATACTGAAATAATGTTCTTTTTCTGTTCTTGGGATAGGAGAGAATAGCAGCATAGAACCCCAAACTGATATATAACTATGAAGGCTGCTATAATCTGATTTCTTTTAGAACATGATTGATTTGTGGAACTTTAAAGGTTTAGTGAAGTGTATTGATTAAATGAGCGCATAAAATGTCTTCAGTGAACAAGTATTTATTATCAGAAAATATCATTTCTTTCACTAAGGTGTGAATTGGTAACTTGGGTCATATTTAGGAGGCGAAGTCCAATGAATTGAGAAAGATGCTTCATTTATGACTAGACACTATATAGGAGTTATAGTATTGAATGAACTATAAATTGTTTCGATTATAATGCCGGATTGTATACGATAAAAATATACATTAATCATTTTTCTGAATTCTCTGTATTTTCTTTTGCAAGCATATTCTTCTTAGATTGCACCCTACATTTTGTGAAGCTATGTTCACTGGGTGAGTTGGTACATTGTCGTATCTCGTCATCCTTTTTAGTTCTACCATAGGCCTGGCGCATAGCTTTCATGATTATAAGGTTCTATAGCTGTGAAGCATCAATACCTGGTGACTATTTCTTGAATACGAGTTACTACATTGGTTGGGTATCAAGCAATAATGAAAAGGGATAGTGTTTAGCTGGTGTAAGTGGTCGTTTGGTAGGTAGAATTGGGAAGGAAATTTTGCTATAACTTGAGATGAGTGTGAAAATTGTAGGAAAAAATAACCATACGTTATTAAGTCTGCAATAGGTGCTTGTGCTAGGTTAAATATGGTGACTCAATATCCGGGAATTCGTGAGAATTGCTCTTGATATAAGTTGTTATTCTTTGTGAAAGAAGCTGGCTGATGAATTTTAGTGTTGAAGCTTGCTTGGCCTGTAATGGATTATGAAGTATGCAAGTTACTTGTAATCCTGCAGATATATTCGTAGTTCTCGTTTGTGTCCATCTGTTTCTATTTAACTTGCAAAATGTACGTCCAGTTTGATTCATTGTTATTCACCTTCTTCTTTTTTTTAATAATAAAGATGGCAGCATTGTAATTTGCTTCTTTATTCTTACTGTTTTTATTTTCGTTATGAAAGCATAATGTTATGTTCAAGTATGTCACACACAGTTTAGATTTTTTAAATTTCTATATGTCTGTCTTTAGGCAATTCCTCCCGTGACTAGAATGGCACTCGGACACAATACTTGGATAACTGTTCTGTGCAGAAAATTGAGAGATTGGTGGCATTGGGTAACCCACCAGCTTTTAACTTTTTTCTGGTTTATGCATTCAGTAGAGCAAGATTTTACTGTAGAGTTGCTGATTCGCTTGGTTTTACGTTTCCCATTGCAGGTTGCAGAAGGAGATCTTCCTATAGTTGCATCACATGGGTGAGTGAAAGTATTTGTTGAGAGTTTGAATAGTTGTGCTAATACTTGCATAAGAGAGGCACAGTTATGCATGTTATTTATCAATAAGCTTTTCTTTTGTTTTAGGACTGAAATTGATACATACAATGCACTCGATCCTAGTGTTAGAGTGGTGATCCTGAAGGCTTTATGTGATATTCGTGTTGAGGTACCAATTTTTTTTTTTTTTTTTTTTTTTTTTTTTTGACATACTTGATTGTGTTCCAATAATGAGAATAAATTAGCGAAGGTTCAACAGTTGAATGCCGTCCCGTTCCAGTCTGTCTCGAATTCTGCATATGTTTCTTATGCTTTAAATAATCTGTTATTATATATATCCTCACTTTTTAGTGACTAAACATTCATACCAAATATTATCTCCAAGCCAAAGTTTGGTTTTCATCATCAATGTTGGTCATGAACAATGTGTGATCATGTTATGCTTTGGTTTTGGATTCCAATTGACCCTTCAACGTCAACCTCTCTCCTGGTTAATCTAATGTGATTTGTCCCATTTTAATCTTTTCCAGTCCGGCATCAATGGCTTATGGTTTTACTTGGAACGGGGAGGGGTCTAGAATTATAAATGCATTGTTGTTGGAGACAATATAATGCGGATCCTTTATTTTGTGAGACCATCACAGATAGTATGGGCAAAAATTAGAGGCAACAAGCTGTATTTATTTCCAATTTTTTACTCCTCAAAATAAACCCTAATTGTGGTTTTTGCTATAGTAGAAGTTGTTTCGTACTTCCATTTTGTTAAGTTCTTAACAATTTTTTTGTTAAGTTCTTAACTATTCAACCTGTCCACGTGTTAATTTTTTGTTGTTTTATGTTTCTTTCTTCCCTCTCTTTGTTTTTTTT